AGCGGAAAGAGAAGCCCCAAAAGGCAAATACACTGAGTCCAAGCCCCATTCTAGCTCTTGGACAAGTCACAGTCTCCCAGGTCCTTAGTTACTCCTGTAAAATGGGGATAATAAATAGTAAACCTACCAACCCCAGAGCGTGGTAATGGACCAGACGCCCATTTATGGTCCATTTATACGGTTTATATGTGGGAAAGGGTGGCTTGCCTTTAGATAGCGGTTTCCAAACTTGGTTCAGTCTGGTGAGTTGTTGAAATCTACAGATTCCAGGTTGCCTCTCCCAGAGCCTCTGATTCAGTGGCCTGAGGTGCTGCCACAGAGGGCGTGGGAAAACACACTCTCCAAGGGACTGTCACGGGCTGCCAGGGAGAAGGTTCTAGATAATTGCCGAACAAACGTGCTGCTGTGGGTCGTGGGTTCAGGGAGCTCACGTGTGCTGGCACAACCAGACACATACTTTGTCAGGCCCAGGGCAAAAATGAAAATTCAGGGGCTCCTTGCTCAAAAATTAAGGACTGTAAGACAGCAACACCAGAGCATTCAACTCAGCACAGATTCTTCTGAGTGCGGTTCCTGTGCTGAGTTAGAGCAGAAGCTGCTGGAGGCCTCAGTGGTGATGCCCACATTGGGGGAAAAACAGCTCAGAGGATGCCCACTAAAGCCAGTCTGATGCGGAGTCTTTCGTTTTAATTGGCTAAAAGCACCTTGGGATTTTGGAGATGGTGTAGCATGGTCCAGACAAGTCAGCCTAAAAGACAAAGCCAAGGACCCTCAAGGCTCATGTCCAATGATCCAATTACAGGGCCTTCCCCCATGTCAAATTCTGCAGCCAGTCCCACGGGTTTCCATTCTGCTATAATTCAGACAGACACACAAGTACGGTAGCAATTGTGCAAATAGTCCCGAGCGGGCAGGGTGCTGCTCACCACATTCATTACTTTTGTCACGTTTCCAACATTCTTGGTGCCAGAGGTCACAGGCCCCTGACTATTCTGAAGGGTCTATTTCCTTTCTGTCGCGTGCAGCAACGCTGACAGGTGAGCACAAGATTGGCAACTCGGTAATTGGATTCACACTCTGATGTTGTAACAACTGCTGCCTGAGAACAGGTCACGGGGAAAACACATTCTTCCACTGAACTCAAATAACCTAAGCAATTTGTTGTCCCTTCTCCTTCTGGAGGGGGGAAAAAAGATGATATAAATGTTGAATGCATATGTGCATGTATGTACAAATGTATGTAGGTATGAAAAGGTGTATGAATGCATGTGCATGTATGTATACGTGTGTGTGCATGTGTAGGTATATGTGTATGTGCAATATATGTATATGTGTGTATATATAAATATATACGCATATGTGTATACGTATTTAGGTACATTGTATCCATAAAACTAACAAGAGTTATGGTGACTATGAAGGCAACTTTAGTCAGTCAATATTTATTTGGGGGGAAAATAATGTATTAGAGAGGCTATCAACTCAGTTCGGAGAAAACTATCACCTTGTATGGGGAAAACTGGTTTCCTCCATGTCTGCTTATGATGCAGGACTTAAATCACGTCTGTACGGACCTCAACCTCCCTTTCCCTCCCCTGCCTCCCCCCCTGCATATTTGCCAATTCACAAGGTTCAGAAAGCATATTTCTCCCTCATGCAAAGAAACAGGGACGGGCGTCTGGGTGGCTCTATGGGTTAAGCATCTGACTTCGGCTCAGCTATGATCTCACGGTCAGCAAGTTCGAGCCCTGCATCTGGGTCTGTGCTGACAGCTCAGCACCTGGAGCCTGCTTCGGATTCTGTGTCTCCTTCTGTCTCTGCCCCTTTCCGGCTCGTTCTCTGTCTACTTTCTGCATGAGGCTGATGATGCCTGATTCAGAGGAACCAGATATTGAGACAAATAGCTCAAGAGCGTGAAAGACACTTGTAGGTCTTTCCTTGTGTTAAATAGAGGGTTGCCTGACATATAGCCACACCAAGGCCTCACACAGATATAGAGTCAGTAGTATCTCAGGCTGTGTACTATTTTACTTTAACAACATGTCAAAGATGCATCCTGAAAAAGTATGAGGAAACCGTATGCCCGTTTATTTTACTTCATGTCAACCGGCCATCATTGGGTTTGGTCCTTGTGTCGTCTAGGAGTACCAACTCTTTAGCAAGAAAGAGAAGCTGAAGTTCTGGCCATTTTAGGAGAAAATAACTCATTTTTTGGAGAAGCCTCGAAAACCAACACCTACAAAATCATGGTCAGTATCACTGCATGTCTAACATGAAAATAGAATAAGAGAGAAAGCAAGACAAAATATTAAGATCCATTAAACGCAACTGCTGGTTTTTTCCTGAAAATCAGACTGGCTGTTTTAATTTCCCTCTCTGACTCTGAACTCAACAAAGGCAGGGCTGTTCCCATGTTTCTGAAGTACAGGCTGTTGCTTGCCAAGATGGACCCTGACGTCTCCAAGCTTGCATCCGACACAGGTAACGTTCAGAGGGTGGAAGAATGAATTAACAGTGGCATGAAGAGAAAGCTTGGGGACTGGGGAGAGTGGTGATCGCCCGACACTGCGAACATCCGTCATGCCACCGAGGTGCGTACTTTACGATGGTTACAATGGTAGTTTTTATCTTTCATGTATTTTATCATAATAAAACAATTAATTAATGGGTGCCTACCAGGCACTGATTCAGAAATGGAAATGGAGAATAAAAAGCTCGAGGCTTAAAAAAGAAATTAATAAAAAAAAAAGGGGGGGCGCCTGGGTGGTTCAGTCGGTGAAGCGTCTGACTTCAGCTCAGGTCACGATCTCGCGGTCCGTGAGTTCGAGCCCCGCGTCGGGCTCTGTGCTGACAGCTCAGAGCCTGGAGCCTGTTTCAGATTCTGTGTCTCCCTCTCTCTCTGCCCTCCCCCAATCATGCTCTGTCTCTCTCTGTCTCAAAAATAAATAAACGTTAAAAAAAAATTAATAAAAAAAAGCTCGAGGCTTCCCAAGTCCATTTTCATAGGAGCCCCATACCATAGTTCATAGATACCCAAATGTTATACTCAAAAGCACGTCCACTCAAGGGGCACCTGGGTGGCCCAGTCAGTTAAGCATCCAACTCTTGGCTTCTGCTCAGGTCGTGATCTCATGGTTTGTGAGTTCAAGCCCTGAACTGGGGCTCTGTGCTGATGGCTCAGGGCCTGCTTGGGATTCTCTCTCCCTCTCTCTCTGCCCCTCCTCCACTCAAGCTCTATCTTTCTGTCTCAAATAAGTAAATAAAAAAAATTTTTTAAAAGGCACGTCCACCCAAGAACATATCCCACATACATTGTGGCAAGCCTATAAGGCTAGTGTCACATTAGAAGAAAAAAATAAATAACGGTGACTAGACATTATCCAAAGGAAATACTCTAAACCAGAAAAGGGGTTCGCAGAGATCGGCAAACTAGGGCCCTCTTGTCAAGTTCAGCCCCGTGCTTGTTTTTGTGCGGTCTGTGAACTAAGAATGGTCTGCATATTTACAAATAGTCGAGAAAAAAACCAAGAGAAGAAAACCATTTCGTGACTGGTGGAAATGAAATGAAATTGAAATTTCAGTTTTCCCAAATAAACTTTTACTGGAAGATGTCCATTCGTTTAGGTATAGTCCCTGGTGCTTTAGAACTATAATGGCAGAATCTAATAGCTGTGATGTAGATCATATGGTCTACAAGGCAGAAAATATTTCTTATGTGGCTCTTTAAGAAGAAGGTTGCCAACCCTTGCTCTGGAGGATGGACAGGACTTTCAGATGAGGGTAGACCGTCCTGGAGCCTTGATAAAGTCAGCGTGCAGAGAGAGGTTCATCAAAGAGAGAGAGAGTCCAGTCCAGCACCTCAGAGGGTCCCGCTCTGCTGAGCTGCAAGGCTGGAGGCACAGCAATGCCAGAGAGCACGGGGGATGTCCTGGGACCTAGGCTGCTGTGGGTAACAACACTCCCACCTTCCATGTGCTTTAACACACCCTCACCCCAGAATCTGCGTCCTGCTTTTTCTCCTTTCAAAGCTTCTGCGTGTGCTCATGATATGTAAATATTTTAGGTGTACCAATGTTAGTAGGGGAGGGATGGGGATGGGGCGCCTGGGTGGCTCAGTTGGTTAAGCATCCAACTGAGGTCATGATCTCACTGTTCCTGGGATCGAGCTCCGCGTCGGGCTCTGAGCTGACCGCATGGAGCCTGCTTGGGATTCTCTCTCTCACTCTCTCTCTCCCCTACCCTGCTTGTGCTCTCTCTCTCTCTCTCTCTCTCTCTCTCAACAAACTTAAAAAAAAGACAGAAGGAGAGGGATGGAAGCATTGCTGAAGGACCTAACGGATGCCTGATATTTAAATGTTGGCTCTTCGATTCTTCTCTAAAACTCTCCCATAAGGTAGGCATTATTAACCCCATTTTATAAATGTTACTAGCTACATTTCCTTTCTTTTTCTGAGTGATTGCCATAGTCCCTGGCCATCTTCCATAACCTTTACACACATTAAATCATTTAATCCTCAGGACAACTCTATAAGTAGGTACAATTATTACTCTCATTTTACAATTGAGATCGTTGAGGCCGAGGTATATCCAGTAAGTTGCTCAAAAACAAAACACAGAGCCAGGATTTGAACCCAGGTGCTCAGCTAGACTGTCTTCCACCACAAGCAGCAGAGAAGTTCTGGATCTTGCTCAAGGAAACACAGGTGGTAACGGCAGAGCGGCATTTCAGACCAAACTTACCCTACTTCAACTTGTGTGTTCCCTACACTGTTCCTTACCTGATCTTCCTCGTAGGCTCTGGTTCTGGGACATGGGCCACCAGAAAATGTCCATTAGTCAAGAAACCACTAGATCTCTCAATGTCTTCTGATACCCAGCATCGAGGACAGCTGTCTTTGTCTCCTTCTCTAAGAAGAATTTGATTGGCGGTAAAGTGAAAAGCTGTCCTCTCTTTGTGATGAAACTGACCTTCTGGATCCGAGTTGGAAAAGTGGCTTTTCGGCCCATTCTTTTCAGAACTGAGATGGATTTGCTGGAGGAGAAAAAGGAGAATATCAACTCAGCTACCATTGTATATAAGGCAATGACTAAGAAGACGAACTTCTTTCCTGATAGATTTACTTGATCTAGAGAGAGAGAGAGAGAACTTCTTTTGGCTCTACACTGGCTAGGGAGGCTGGGGAATCTCTGAGGGAAATTTTCCATGTGTAATAATATATTCATAATAATCTGTGATTCAGGTAGCTCGTTCTAAAAAAAAAGGTGTTCACAGTAAACGGCGTAAGGGAGTCAGCAACGAACTCAGAGTGTGCCAGGGACATGAGCTCAGCACTCCGTGTTCATGCGACTCCTCTCTGCCCAAAATGGATTGCAGCTTGTCAGCAGCTACTTGGAAGAACAAGATACTTTGAGACGATTTGGAAGGCCAGATTCAGAACACCAAAGAGCGAAAGGAACCTTTGTTTCTTGTTTCTTCAAGCGTAACGGTTCTGACTCAGCAGGTTTAAGGAAAGACTGGACCCCAGGTGGCAGGAAAGAGACCAACCCCTCTCTCTCCTCCTTCACTGACTGTGCTTGCTCCCCACAGCTTTGCTCCCAGCGGGAGCCTGCAGTGTAGACTGGAGATGCCCCAGTGACCTTGCTTTGGAGAGTGAGGGAAAGGATGAATCAGAGGCATTTTGCAGGTGCATGAACTTTACTACAGCAATGCAAACAGGAACGTACTATCACGCTGGCGAGAATGTTTCTGCGAACAGCATCCTGGGAGACCCTGCAGTTTGCATTTCTAAAGGGAAAAAAAAAATCTCAGAAGCCAATAGGTGGTGGGTGTGTGTCCTTCTGTCCGTAAGAGTTGGCGTTCATTTCAGCTGGCCGCAGGGCAAAAAGATGTGACAGCCACTTTTGGTTTTAAGCTTTAATCAATTTCCCTCAACGCTTGGTTCTATTTTGCAAACACTTACAGAGCAGCTGCTTTGAGCCCGGCCCTGTGCCAGCCTCTGGGAGAACAAGATCAATTAGGCACAGCCCCCGACCACAAGGAGTGCAAAGTCTAGCACCTTCTGCAGACCTCTGAGAAGTCAATCCCAAGGGCCGCGCTTGGGATTGTTGACTTATGCTTTTGAGGGCAGAAACGCATCTGGTGGGGGCTCACAGATGCATGTCCCCACTCCTCCCAGGGGGCCCTCCTGTCCTCCTGTCCACCACACAGAGGGTGGAGCAGATCTGAGGGTTCTGTAGTCCCACCCACAAAGAGCTGCTTCACTTTCGTCCCGGTGAAACTCTGGGCCCTCCTGTCATTATTGCCACGCTGCCTCTGAGAAGTACAGATTTCAAAAGAGGGCTCATAATTCCTGCCAAAGCTATCGTGCCGACGTCAGGCATCTACACTGGCCTGGGCTGAGGTTGAGTGCCCTGCCGTTAAAAGGAAAATCAGAGGTGAGAACTCAGCCACCACCTAGAAGGAGGGGACACACGCCTGCTCGCGGTCCCGGGTGCCCACACGTGCCTCCTTCCCGCTGCTTGGACCCAATCACTCATGTGACCCCATCCCAAATGTCCAGAAAGAAGAATCTGTCCTGAGCACCGTGTGTTGAAAACTAAACACGAGCAGTTCAGTAGCTTCCCAGAAAGAATATCAGCAGGGCAGTGCGGGCTTTCCTCCGGTTCAGTCATGGGAACACGCCCAGGCCGAGTGTGTGTACTGGAATGATCTTCAGCCCCTGATGCTGGAGGAGGGTCCAGTCTGCCATGTTTAGAAAGTGAAAGCCGCAGGCGTCATTTGGCAAAAGTCACCAGTACCCTGCCCAGAGCCTATCAGCCATGTTCCAAGCATTCCGAGAGCTGTTCTGGAGCTAGTTTGGCAATCTTCTTATGACAGCAAAAGATGAGAGTGCTAAAAACTAAGAATTTCCAAGAATGCGCTGTGGTCCAGGTCTGGCGGTGAGGGATTTAAGGGCATTGGCCCACGGAGTCCTCACCACCATCCCCTGAAAGGATTATTATCATTCTCAGTTCACAGATGGGAAAAGTTAAGCAATCTGCCCAAAGATCGCGTGTCCAGTAAGTGATGGAGCTGGAACATGAACCGGGCCTATGTGACAAAGTGACAGTAGTCACAGCCTGGGAGGGCTCCCTGCCTCGTAGTCCCCCACCTTCCTCCTGTTACCGGCTCGCCCCTGCCGCTCGGCTCTGGGGGCTGTGGGGGGAAGGTACAGAGGGGAGAAGTGGAGAGAGTCCAGACGGCCCTAGTCCCAGAATGTAGGGAGGAAGGAAAGTCATTCATTTCTTTGTCCTCGGCAGCAAAGTCCCCCTTCCCCTCTCTTTTTGGACCTCAGGTACATTCAATTGAGACACCTTGGCTCCTGGCCTCCTCTCATCCATTCAGGCGAAGCTTATCTGCTTCATTTTACATTGTCCCCCCTTTATTCCCTCGCCAACATCCATTCTCACTGCCATCTGGGTTACACGCTAACCCGTGTAAATACATGTCTCTAGCTATACATGGACACCTGAATGCACACATCTACGTCCACGTCCTTAGATATAGGCGTATACCCAAATGTGTACACAGATATACACGTTTATGTGTACATGCATATGCACATACAGCATCACTTTGCGTATACGTCCTTAAACCCTACGGATGGCCCCGTGCCATCGATTTTATTCTATGTCTTCTTCCCAGTGACCACGTTTTTAAGTTTTATTTACATTAGCGTTTGTAAACCTAGTTCATTACTTCCGGTGATGCAAAGTATTCTCTCCCTGCCCTTCTCCCTGTAGCCCTGATATGCATTTGCGAGCGTGTGAGTGTGTGCACGTGTGTGCGCGCGTGCATGTGGGTAACGGCTGTCTGTTGTTTGTTAGCATTGAGAGCAGGGACTTGTTTGTTTGGTTTTTTCAATGCTTATTTGTTTTTGAGACAGAGAGAGACAGAGCATGAATGGGGGAGGGGCAGAGAGAGAGAGGGAGACACAGAATCTGAAACAGGCTCCAGGCTCCGAGCTGTCAGCCCAGAGCCCGACGAGGGGCTCGAACTCACCAGCTGTGAGATCATGACCTGAGCTGAAGTCGGACACCCAACCGACTGAGCCACCCAGGTGCCCCAGGGACTTGGTTTTAATCACAGCTACATCCTAAGCAAATAGAACAGTGCCAGGCACGACAGATTCTCAGTTAATATTTGTTGAGTAAATGAATGAATGCAACTCCGCCACAATTTCTTTTCTCCCCAGTGAGGAATACCTAGAGGGTCTCTTACTCTTTTTTACCACAAACACGGGATGGAGGAGAGTCACTGGGTTAGGAGGTGTATTCATTCATGGTGAACCCTGCCTTCCCCCCTCATGCCCTCTCCCCCCGCCCCGTCTCTCCTTCTCTCCTTTCTTTCTCAAAGTTCTTTGTCTGAGTCCCCCGGAGGCAGAGGAAAAGAAGGATATTTGTGTTGTGTTCTTGGAGGTCTCACTTCAATTAGCTATAAATGAAATCTTTCTAAAAGATTGAGGTGCTATTCCTGAGCAGACACACAGGACCTCAGATCACATATTTTAAAATTTTTATTTGGATTTGACAAGTATATATGGAATCCCTCCTCTGTGCAAACCTCTGTGACAGGCAGGGAGGGGCATGAGGAGCAGATCCCCAAAGTAGGGGAGAAGGGGGACACGCGGGGAGGAACACATAGCATGAGGGAGGGCGTGGGCGGCCAGGTGCAGACTGAGTGCCTGTGTCATAGAGTGTGGGGCCTTCTGGTCTGTTCTAGAAACCACGGGGTACAAGTTTGAGAGGAACAGGATATTTATAGTCTCCTGGTATCTCCCCCACAAATTAAAAGTAACATCATGTGCCTCTTGGCACGATACAGTAAGAAGATAACATTTTTGTAGCATTTCTGCCAAAAGTTCATAATCTGAACCTAATCACAAGGAACAAATCAGACAGGCCCAAACGAGAGGCATTCTAAAAACTGTGTGGTTCCACATGAGCGGCAAAACAAGGCTGAAGAGCGAGCCATCCCAGATTAAAGGAGACGAGTGCGCCACAGTAACTGAAAGCAACATGTGATTCTGGGTTGGTTCCCGGAACAGGGAAAAGCAGTTTCTCTAAAGGACGTTATTGGGTCGATTGGTGAAATTTGAATACGGGCTGCATGTTAGATCATATATTGTATCAGTGCTAAACTTCCTGAAGATGACAATTGTGTAGCGGTTTTCGTGTTTCTTTTTTTTAAAGTGTAGATAGAGAGAGAGAGGGTGTGTGAGCAGGGGAGAGGGGGAAAAGGAGAGAAAGAGAGAGAGAAGGAGAGAGAATCTTCAGCAGGCTCCACACGCAGCACAGAGCCTGATGCAGGACTCGATCCCACCACCCTGGGATCATGACCTGAGCCCAAATCAGGAGTCAGATACTTGATCGACTGAGCCACCCAGGCTCCCTGTATGGTAGTTTATTAGTAATCAGTGGACCTGAACATTTCGTTGTACGTTTCTTGCAAATTTTCGGTAAAGGTGATATTTTTTTTTTTTCGTTCAGTCGATATTTTTAAAAAACGAAACGTTTAAAAAGCTGTCCTAGTGTTAAAGGCAGGGGTTGAAACATGGAGGCAGGTGTAGTGTAAGAAAAATAGAGATGAGCCCGTACGATCCTTGCGATGTGCCAGGCACGTTTTACCTCTCAGTGATCTAATCATCTCAACCACCTGCAGGAGGTGTTATTATTACTGCCCCATTTTACAGGTGGGGACACTCACTCAAGATCTCACAGATAGTATGTTGAAGAGCTGGGTTCTGAGCCTGGGAAGGTTGGCTCCAAGAATGTGCTGTTTACTGCTGCTGTGTCGGAATTAAAGCCGAGGTATGGGGGCACCTGAGTGGCTCAGTCAGTTAAGCCTCTGACTCTTGGTTTCAACTCAATTCACAATCTCATGGTTTTGTGAGTTCAAGCCCCATGTCAGGCTCTGCGCTGACAATGAGGAGCCTGCTTGGGATTCTCTGTCTCCCTTTCTTTTTTTTTCTCTCTCTCTCTGCCCCTCCCCTC